GAGGGAAGCCCACCTGGTATCGGAAGCCGGGGGAGAGCTGGTAGTTGACCAGCTCCTGGTGGAAGACGGGGGTGAGGCTGCCGGAGATGGGGGGCACCAGCCAGATCCAGTCGGCCGGGCAGCCCCCCCGGATGCGCTGCTCGTTCTCCAGGTGCTTCATGAAGGACTCGGCCACCGCGTGGTGGTCCACGACGGTCACTTTGGCCAGCTGCGGAGAGGGGTGGAGAAGGGCCAAGGGTCCCGTCAGACGACACCCCCCCTGCCCAGGAGAAGGAGAAGGAGAAGAGGAAGGAAGGAGTGACGAGAAGGGAAGGGAAGGGAAGGGTGGAGGGAGGGAGGAAGGAAGCAAGGAAGCAGGAAGGGAGGAGAGAGAAGAGTAAGAAGAAAGGAGGAAGGGAGGAGAGAGAGAAAAAGGAAAGAAGGAAGGTAGGAAGGAAAGAAGGAAGGAAGGAAGAAAGAAGAAAGAAAGAGGAAGGAAGGAAGGAAGGAAGGAAGGGAGGAGAGAGAGAAGACTAAGGAAGGAAGGAAGGAGGAAAGAAGGAGAGAAGAGGAAGGAAGCAAGTAAGGAAGGAAGGAAGGATGGAAGGACGGAAGAAAGAAAGAAAGAAAGAGAGAAAGACAGAAAGAAAAAGAGAGAGAGAAAGAAGAGGAAGGAAGAAGGAAGTAGAGACAGGAAGGAAGGAAAGAAGAAGGAAGCAAGGAAGGAAGGAAGGGAGGAAGGAAGGGCAAAAAAGAAAGAAAGAAAGAAGGAAGGAAGCAAGCAAGTAAGTAAGTAAGTAAGGAAGGATGGAAGGACGGAAGAAAGAAAGAAAGAGAGAGAGAGAAAGAAAGAAAGAAAGAAAGAGAGAGAGAAAGAAGAGGAAGGAAGGAAGAAGGAAGTAGAGAGAGGAAGGAAGGAAGGAAAGAAGAAGGAAGGGAGGGAGGGAGGGAGGGAGGAAGGAAGAAAGAGAGAAAGAGAAGAAGAAGGAGAAAGGGGAAAGGAACGAAAGAGAGGAGGAAGGAAGGAAGGAGGAAGGAGAGAGAAAAGAAAGGAAGGAAAGAAGAGGGAAGGGAGGAAGGAAAGGTCGAAAAGGAAGGAAGGAGAAAGAGAAAAGGAAGGAAGGAGAGAAGAGGAAGGAGAGAGAGAAAGGAAAGAAGGAAGGAAGACAGAAAGAAAGAAAGAAAGAAAGAAAAGAGGGAGGAAGGAAGGAAGGAAGGAAGGAAGAAAAGAAGAAAAGGGAGGGAGGAAGGGAGGAAAGAGAAAGAGAGAGTAGACTGTAGCTGGGTGGGGGGGGATCTGGGTGGGAGACCCCAAGAGTTGTGAGTGTGGGTTGAGCTGGGGGAAGGGGGAGAAGGCAGGAGAGGAGGGGAGACCCCCCACACACACACACCCCAGCACGGGCTCGTGCAGCCCCGTTGTCGCAAACCGCTCGTTCAGGCGACCGTTCACACGGTCCTCGCCTTACGACGCCTCGTTTAGACGACCGCCCTCCACCGCCTCCCCGCGGTCGCGGGAACCAAACCGGGACGCCTGGCAACCCACTCCCGTTTACGACGGTCCCCTTTGGCCGCCTTCCCGACGAGCCGAGTCGACGGGGAGGGCGGGGGGGGGAAGAGAGATTCCACTGAACGGCCACGCGACTCGCTTAACGACCGGAGGGGTTTCGCTTAACGACGGTGGGAAGGAAGCGGAGCCCAACTCCCGTGACAAATGTCTCGCTCGGTGACAGAAATGGGGGTGGGGGGCGTCTCGGTTGCGGTCGTAAGTCGAGGATTCTCTGTAGCGGCTACACACACACACACACACACAACGCACACACACACCTGGAAGCTGTGCAGCACGGCCACGTTCATCTCCACCGCCGCCTTGTCCTTCCAGAGGGAGAGGGTGGTCCCGGTGTCCAGCCCCATCTTCTCAGCCACCCCCTGCGAGAGACGGTTCGGGCGAAGGAGGGAAAGACAATCGGGGGATCGTCCGGGAGGATTTTGGGGGGGGGGAGGATCTGTTGTGACCCCCCCCTTGCTGGGGAAGGATCCGCCATTGGCAGAGAGAGAGAGAGTGGCGGGCGTCGGGAGGGGCACCTGGGTGTGTTAATTTAATTTAATAATTTAATTTAATTTAATTTAATTTAATTTAATTTAATTTAATTTAATTTAATTTAATTTAATTTAATTTAATTTAATTTAATTCTTCAATTTGATTCAATTTAATTGTATTTAATTTAATATTTAATTTAATTTAATTTAATTCTATTTAATTCTATTTAATTTAATTATTTGATTTAATGATTTAATTTAGCTTAATTCTATTTTATTTAATTCTATTTTATTTTATTTTAATTCTATTTAATTCCATTTAATTTAATTTAATTCTATTTAATTCATTTAATTCTATTTAATTCTATTTAATTTAATATTTAACTTAATTTAGTTTAGTTTAGTTTAATTTAATATTTAACTTAATTTAATTTAATTCTATTTAATTCTGTTTAATTTAATTCTATTTAATTCTATTTAATTTAATTTAATTTAATGTATAGGGTTTCCTGCCTGAGCAGTGGGTTGGACTAGATGACCTCCAAGATCCCTTCCAACTATTATTAATAATTTAATTTAATATTTAACTTAATTTAATTTAATTCTATTTAATTTAATTCTATTTAATTCTATTTAATTTAATTCTATTTAATTCATTTAATTCTATTTAATTCTATTTAATTTAATATTTAACTTAATTTAGTTTAGTTTAGTTTAGTGTAATATTTAACTTAATTTAATTTACTTTAATTGTATTTAATTCTATTTAATTTAATATTTAATTTAATGTAGTTTAGCTTAATTTAATATTTAACTTAATTTAATTTAATGTAATTCTATTTAATTTAATTCCATTTAATTTAATATAATTTAATGTATAGGGTTTCCTGTCTGAGCAGGGGGTTGGACTAGATGACCTCCAAGGTCTCTTCCAACTTTATTATTATTAATGTAACTTAATTTAATTTAATTCTGTTTAATTTAATTTAATTCTATTTAATTTAATTTAATGTATAGGGTTTCCTGCCGGAGCAGGGGGTTGGACTAGATGACCTCCAAGGTCCCTTCCAACTATTATTAATAATTTAATTTAATATTTAACTTAATTTAATTGAATTCTATTTAATTCTATTTAATTTAATTCTATTTAATTCATTTAATTCTATTTAATTCTATTTAATTTAATATTTAACTTAATTTAGTTTAGTTTAGTTTAATTTAATATTTAACTTAATTTAATTTAATTCTATTTAATTCTGTTTAATTTAATTTAATTTAATTCTATTTAATTTAATTTAATTTAATGTATAGGGTTTCCTGCCTGAGCAGGGGGTTGGACTAGATGACCTCCAAGGTCCCTTCCAACTATTATTAATAATTTAATTTAATATTTAACTTAATTTAATTGAATTCTATTTAATTCTATTTAATTTAATTCTATTTAATTCTGTTTAATTTAATTTAACTTAATGTATAGGGTTTCCTGCCTGAGCAGGGGGTTGGACTAGATGACCTCCAAGGTCCCTTCCAACTTTATTATTATTATTAATTTAATTTAATTACCCAAAGTTACCCAAACAGCTTTCAGGCCTAAGGCGGGACTAGAACTCACGGCGCCCTGCTGATTAGCCCAAAGTCAGCCAGCGGCCGTCGTCAAAGAGGGGCAAAACGAAACCAGCGTCTCCCTTAACGGCAGAAGCGTCGGTCTCCGTCGTCGTGTCGGGGACTTCCCGTAGGGGCGGACACTGTCAGGGGGGTCGGGTCTCCTCCCCCTCCCCCTTCCTCTGTTCCCGGGGCGGCAGAGGGGCACTGGAAAGGGCCCTTACCTGCAAGAGGTTGTAGCGGTGGGCGTCGCAAAAGTCCCGCATGCCGATCTCGCAGCCCACGTACCAGCCGCTGAAGGGGGCGGCTGGGAACTCCAGACCGCCGATTTCCAGCAGCATGTTGGCCACGGCCGGCAGGGCGTACCAGCGGAGTCCCAGCTCCTCAAACCACAGCAGCCTGGAGTAAACATGAGAGGACGGGCAGCAGGTGAGGAAGAGCAGGGGGCCGGGCCTGATGGGTGGGGGAATCCTTCGGGCGAGCCCCACGCGAGTGGTAGACGAGAGTTTGCCCCCCGCAGATTCGGTCTCCCTCCCATCGGCTGCCCTCGGCCGCCGCACCGCGCTCTGCAGCACGTCGGCTGCCAGCCTGCACCCAATGGGGCGGGAGAGCGCGCGAACACAGATCTGAGGGAATTGGACAAGGGGGCCCGAGAGGTCCGCCCGTCTGCGGCATGGCGCTCATCCAAGGAAGCCGCTGATGGCGCTTCTCCGTCCTCCGGATCACTTGGATGTCCTCCTTTTTCCCGGAAGTGGTTTCGCTTCTTCGTCCGGGAGGCTTCCACGGCTCTAGGGAAGGGACTTTTCAAGCAGGAGCAGATCTTCCGACGAGAAGCGAAACGTCTCCCGAGGAAAAACGGGAAAGGCCCGTGGCCTCGTGGAAAAGGCACCTTGGGAGAGCCATCCCCCCCCAGAGACCACCGTGTCCCCCCTCTCCCCATCTGGGGCCCAGCTCAGCTCACGTGGGGTGGACGATGGGCACCTCCAGCACCAGCTCGGGAGGTAGGACGAAAAGCTCGGGGTCCTCGTCTGGCGCTTGCAGGAGCAACGGGAGGACGTCGAAACGGCCGTAGGGGGGACGCCAGCCGTACTGCATGCAGAGCTGAGGGGGGGTGTAGAGAAAACAGCAAGTGGGGAAGGGCCCCCCAACAGAATAGAATAGAATAGATGGAAGGGACCTCAGAGGTCATCTAGTCCAACCCCCTGCTCAAGCAGGAGACCCTTACAGAACAGCAGAGTGAATAGAATAGAATAGAATAGAATAGAATAGAATAGAATAGGAATAGAATAGAATAGAATAGAATAGAATAGAATAGAGGGAAGGGACCTCAGAGGTCATCTAGTCCAACCCCCTGCTCAAGCAGGAGACCCTTCCAGAACAGCAGAGTGAATAGAAGAGAAGAGAATAGTTGGAAGGGACCTCAGAGGTCATCTAGTCCAACCCCATGTGCAAGCAGGAGACCCTACAGAACAGTAGTGAATAGAATAGAATAGAATAGAATAGAATAGAATAGAATAGAATAGAATAGAAGGAAGGTACCTCAGAGGTCATCTAGTCCAACCCCCTGCTCAAGCAGGAGACCCTTACAGAACAACTGAGTGAATAGAATAGAATAGAATAGAATAGAATAACAGAGTTGGAAGGGACCTCGGAGGTCATCTAGTCCAACCCCCTAGTCCAAGATGGAAGTCTTGGAATGGGCACTGAGAAGTGGGGTGAGGATGTCCCCATGTCTCCTGCTCGAGCAGGGGGTTGGATTAGATGACCTCCAGGGTCCCTTCCAACTCTGTCCTTCTCTGATTCTGTAAGGGTCTCTTGCTCGAGCAGGCGGTTGGACTAGATGACCTCTGAGGTCCCTGTTCTTCTACGATTCTGTATAGCATCTCCTGCTCGAGCAGAGGGGTGGACTAGATGACCTCCAGGGTCCCTTCCATCTTTGTCGTTCTCTGATTCTGTAAGGGTCTCCTGCTTGAGCAGGGGGTTGGACTAGATGACCTCCGAGGTCTCTTCCAACTCTGTCCTTCTATGATTCCGTTTGGGTCTCCCGCTCAAGTAGAGAGTCGGACAAGAAGAACTCCGGGGTCTCTTCCATCTCTGTTCTTCTGTGATTCTGTAGGGGGGGTCAGACTAGATGATCTCCGAGCTCCCTTCCCAACTCCGCGTTCCGTATTCCGCTCACCTCGGTGATCTCCACGTTGGCCGGGTCTCCCAGGACGCTGCCGTCGGGCTGTGGGTAGCCGGCGTACCGGATCAGCTGCTGATTCCAGATGCGGAAGTCGCCCCGTCCCGCCAGCCGCGGCGGGAAGACGGTGATGGCCGACCTGGCGGGAGGAAGCGAGGGGGGGAAAAACCTCAGGCTTGGTCAGGGGAACCTCCTGCCACCGCCCGCAGCCCGTGCCTGCCAGGGCTCACCGGAGATTGCCCCGGTTGGTGGCGTAGTTGATGTGGTTACACAGGAAGGTGAACATCTCCTGGGCGCTGGTGATGTCCCGGGCGTCAAAGACCTGCGGGGAGGAGGGTCTAAGTGGCAGCAGGGGTGCCCCTCTTTCGCCCGAGGAGGAGGGTGAGGACTCTGAGCCTCACACACACATACACACACACACACACACACCACCACCACCAACAACAACTGGAATAGCAGAGTCTTTATAAGCGAGGATCTTCCCGTTGGTGGGTTGGGTCCCGGCCTGCACTTTGTGGGAGCGCAGCAGGGCTCTGGGAAAGGGAGGGGAGGGGCCCTTGGAGTTGTTGCTCAGGGTGAGGACCCTGAGACTGACACACACACACAGAGAGAGACACACAAACACACACACACCGCCAACTGGAATAGGAGAGTCTTTATAGGCGAGGATCTTCCCGCCATTGGATTGGGTCCCGGCCTGCACTTTGTGGGAGCGCAGCAGGGCTCGGGGAAAGGGAGGGGAGGGGCCCCTGGTGGAGTTGCCCAGGAAGAGGGCGAGGACCCTGAGCCTGGCACACACACACACACACACACACACACACACAATGCCAACTGGAATAGGAGTGTCTTTCTAGGCGATTGGATCGGGTCCCGCCTGCACTTTGTGGGAGCCCAGCAAGGCTGGTGGGAAAGGGAAGGGAGGGTGCCCCCGGGAAGAGTTGCTCAGGAAGAGGGTGAGGACCCTGAGCCTGGCACACACACACACACACACACACACACACACACACACACACACACACACACACAGCCAACTGGAATAGGAGAGTCTTTTTGGCGAGGATCTTCCCGCCGTTGGATCGGGTCCCGCCTGCACTTTGTGGGAGCCTAGCAAGAGAGATGGGAAAGGGAGGGGAGGGGTCCCTGTTGGAGTTGCCCAGGAAGAGGGCGAGGACCCTGAGTCTGGCACACACACACACACACACACACACACACACACAACCCGCCAACTGGAATAGGAGTGTCTTTCTACGCGAGGATCTTCCCGCCGTTGGATCGGGTCCCGGCCTGCAGTTTGTGGGAGCGCAGCAGGGCTGGGGGAAAAGGAGGGGAGGGGCCCTTGGTGGAGTTGTTGCTCAGGAAGAGGGTGAGGACCCTGAGTCTGGCACACACACAAACACACACACACACAAACACACACAACGCCAACTGGAATAGGAGTGTCTTTCTAGGCGAGGATCTTCCCGCCGTTGGATTGGGTCCCGGCCTGCACTTTGTGGGAGCCTAGCAAGAGAGATGGGAAAGGGAGGGGAGGGGTCCCTGGTGGAGTTGCCCAGGAAGAGGGCGAGGACCCTGAGTCTGGCACACACACAAACACACACACAAACACACACAATGCCAACTGGAATAGGAGTGTCTTTCTAGGCGATTGGATCGGGTCCCGCTTGCACTTTGTGGGAGCCCAGCAAGGCTGGTGGGAAAGGGAAGGGAGGGTGCCCCCGGGAAGAGTTGCTCAGGAAGAGGGTGAGGACCCTGAGCCTGGCACACACACACACACACACACACACACACACACAACCAACTGGAATAGGAGAGTCTTTTTGGCGAGGATCTTCCCGCCGTTGGATCGGGTCCCGCCTGCACTTTGTGGGAGCCTAGCAAGAGAGATGGGAAAGGGAGGGGAGGGGTCCCTGTTGGTGTTGCCCAGGAAGAGGGTGAGGACCCTGAGTCTGGCATACACACACACATACACACACACACACATACAACCCGCCAACTGGAATAGGAGTGTCTTTCTAGGCGAGGATCTTCCCGCCGTTGGATTGGGTCCCGGCCTGCACTTTGTGGGAGCCCAGCAGGGCAGGTCAGAAAGGGAAGGGAGGGGCCCTTAGTGGAGTTGTTGCTCAGGAAGAGGGTGAGGACCCTGAGACTGACACACACACACACACGAGAGAGACACACAAACACACACACACCGCCAACTGGAATAGGAGTGTCTTCCTAGGCGAGGATCTTCCCACCGTTGGATTGGGTCCCGGCCTGCACTTTGTGGGAGCGCAGCAGGGCTGGGGGAAAGGGAGTTGCTCAGGAAGAGGGTGAGGACCCTGAGCCTGACACACACACACACACACACACACCCCGCCAACTGGAATAGGAGTGTCTTTCTAGGCAAGGATCTTCCCGCCTGCCCTGTGTGGGAGGATTTGGATCCAGCCGCCCCCACCGCACCTGCAGCTTGTTCCACTGGATGCGTCCCAGACAGCGAGGGGCGTTGCGCCAGGCGTGCTTGGCGCCGAAGACCAGCTCCGCCTCCAGCAGCTGGTAGGTGCCCGTGGCGGCGATCTGCCGCTCCACCTCCTGGAGGCGCTGGTGGTGGGCTTGCGACTCGGCCCTGGGGAGGAAAGAGAAGACCAGGGGGGAGGTTTCCCGGTGGGTTTATCGTAGCACAACGACCCGGCAGTGTAGGACATCACCGGATCCTCCTTAGGGATCTTTGGGAATTGGGTTTTTTTTTTCCAAAGCTGAGATTGGCACTCGGCACCCCCAAAGGCCTCCCCCTCTTTCTACACACACCCCGCGGGACAAGCCAGGGCGGGGACGATGAGCTGTGCTGTTGTTGTGGCTCTGTCCGTTCTTTGTTTGTCTTTCCAGGCCCGCCGTGGGATAAACTTTCCCGGACTCGGGATGTGGGTGTTTTTCCAAGGGAGGGGGGCCGAAAGGCCAGGCGGGACGTCCCGGGTTGGAATGGGAGGGGGGAACCATTCTGGAAGATTCCGATAAGAGGCCCCGAAACAAAAGGATCAGGAGCCCCCCAGGCCTTCCTGGGCCGGGTCAGGGAAGGGGGACCCCCCCCGTGCCCCCCCTTATTAGTCCTCGGGATTTGGGGAAGGGGCCGGTCTGCCACTCCGGAGAGAGGGAGGGTCTTGTGGGCAAGGGGGGGTGCCAGCATCCAGCTGCCCCCCTGTAGGGGGAGAGGACGGGGTGCCCCCTCTGCAAATGGGGTGCCGGGATTTGGGGAGAGAGGACGGGGTGCCCCCTTTGTAAATGGGGTGCCAGGATCTGGGCTGCCCCACTGTAGGGAGAGAAGACGGGGTGCCCCCTCTGTAAATGGGGTGCTAGGATCCGGGCTGGCCCCCTGTAGGGGGAGAGGACGGGGTGCCCCCTCTGTAAGTGGGGTGCCGGCATCTGGGCTGTCCCCCTGTAGGGAGAGAGGACGGGGTGCCCTCTCTGTAAGTGGGGTGCCGGCATCCGGGCTGTCCCCCTGTAGGGAGAGAGGACGGGGTGCCCCCTCTGTAAGTGGGGTGTCGGCATCCAGGCTGGCCCCCTGTAGGGAGAGAGGACGGGGTGCCCCCTCTGTAAGTGGGGTGCCGGCATCCAGGCTGGCCCCCTGTAGGGAGAGAGGATGGGGTGCCCCCTCTGTAAGTGGGGTGCCAGCATCCAGGCTGGCCCCCTGTAGGGAGAGAGGACGGGGTGCCCCCTCTGTAAGTGGGGTGCCAGGATTTGGGGAGAGAGGAAGGGGTGCCCCCTTTGTAAATGGGGTGCTAGGATCCGGGCTGCCCCCCTGTAGGAAGAGAGGACGGGATGCCCCCTCTGTAAGTGGGGTGCCAGTATCCAGGCTGGCCCCCTGTAGGGAGAGAGGACGGGGTGCCCCCTCTGTAAGTGGGGTGCCGGCATCCGGGCTGTCCCCCTGCGGGGAGAGAGGACGGGGTGCCCCCTCTGTAAGTGGGGTGCCAGGATTTGGGGAGAGAGGAAGGGGTGCCCCCTTTGTAAATGGGGTGCTAGGATCCGGGCTGCCCCCCTGTAGGAAGAGAGGACGGGATGCCCCCTCTGTAAGTGGGGTGCCAGTATCCGGGCTGTCCCCCTGCAGGGAGAGAGGACGGGGTGTTCCTCTGTAAATGGGGTGCCAGGATTTGGGGAGAGAGGACGGGGTGCCCCCTCTGTAAGTGGGGTGCCGGCATCCAGGCTGCCCCACTGTAGGGAGAGAGGACGGGGTGCCCCCTCTGCAAATGGGGTGCCAGGATTTGGGGAGAGAGGAAGGGGTACCCCCTTTGTAAATGGGGTGCCAGGATCCGGGCTGCCCCGTGTAGGGGGAGAGGACGGGGTGCCCCCTCTGTAAATGGGGTACCAGCATCCGGGCTGCCCCCTGTAGGGAGAGAGGACGGGGTGTCCCGTCTGCAAACGGGGTGCCAGGATTTGGGGAGAGAGGAAGGGGTGCCCCCTCTGTAAATGGGGTGCCCCTTTTGGGGTGGGGGCCCCCGAGAACTTACCGCCTCATGGAGCCATAGTAGAGGGCGAGGAAGTCCCGGGCGAGGCTCAGCAGCTCTTCCTCCGATCGGGCACCGTCGCACCGGGCTAGCATCTGCTTGGGCAGCATGGCGGCGCCCAGGCATCGTTTCCCGTTGCAGGGCACCTCCTGGGAGAAGGGGCAGGCGGGCATCGTGCCGGGGTGCGGGAAAACCGGGAGAGGGGGGTTTGCCCCATTGGCCCCTCCCCCAAAGCCCCTAGGCTCCTCCCACCCTCCCTCCCTGCCCCCACCGCCGCGGGCACCCTCACCTGCCTGGCCTGGGCGCTGAGGGTGTCGTAGAGGATGGTGCCCGTCTGCCAGTTCTTGATGCGGGAATAGCGGGGAGGGTCGGCCGGGCGCTCGGCTGGCAAGCTGGGGAGGGGGGGGGAGAGAGAGAGAGGAGACCCTTCCCGAATCACAGCAGGACAGAGCGGGAAGGGACCTCGGAGGTCATCTAGTCCGACCCCCCAGCTCGAGCGGGAGACCCTTACAAAATCATAGATTGACAGAACGGGAAGGTCATCTAGTCTGACCCACTGGTTGAGCAGGAGACCCTTCATAGATTGACAGTGGGAAGGGAGCTTGGAGGTCATCTAGTCTGACCCCCTGCTTCAGCAGGAGACCCTTACAAAATCATACAATGACAGAGCTGGAAGGCACCTCGGAGGTCATCTAGTCCGACCCCCTGCTCGAGAAGGAGAGCCTTCCAGAATCACAGAAGGACAGAGCTGGAAGGGACCTCGGAGGTCATCTAGTCCGACCCCCTGCTCGAGAAGGAGAGCCTTTCAGAATCACAGAAGGACAGAGCGGGAAGGGACCTCGGAGGTCATCTAGTCTGACCCCTGCTCGAACAGGAGACCCTTCCAGAGTCATAGAATAATGGAGTTGGAAGGGTCCTCGGAGGTCATCTAGTCTGACCCCCTGCTCGAGCAGGAGAACCTTCCAGAATCACAGAAGGACAGAGCCGGAAGGGACCTCGGAGGTCAT